CTGTCACTGTGTTCACAGAATATGTATCTTAACATTTGTATGTACTAATAAATATATTTTCTATGTGTGGTCGTAACTTGGATGCATATTTTGACAATATTTATTTATTGTATGGATTTGTGTGCTGCTGTAAATGTTCAAGGTGGCTCACATTAGTATAGTTGGGCCTAAGCCAAAATTGTTTCTATTCCCCAAGGTGTGCACAAATGCAGCTGCCTGCAAGTGTGTCTTAGCGTTCCACTAGGAGCTTGCAAAAGCTTTCAAAATTCCCATAGGACTCAGTGTTTGAGATGCTGGCCTAATTCTTACAGTGGCAGTAGCCCTGCATCTGGACTGTAACACCTGCCTGACACTGAGTTTTCTATGTGAGAAGAACTTTGGGATGGAGGAGAATTCAAATAATAATAATAATAATTTATTTATACCCCACCCATCTGGCTGGGCAGCCCCAGCCACTCTGGGCAGCTTCCAACCAAATATTAAAATACAGCAATACATCAAACATTAAAAGCTTCCCTAAACAGGGCTGTCTTCAGATGTCTTCTAAAAGTTTGGTAGTTGTTGTTCTCTTTGACATCTGGTGGGAGGGTGTTCCACAGTGCTGGCACCACTACCAAGAAGGCCCTCTGCCTGGTTCCCTGTAACTTGGCTTCTTGCAGTGAGGGAACCGCCAGAAGGCCCTCGGCGCTGGACCTCAGTGTCCGGGTAAAAGGATGGAGGTGGAGACGCTCCTTCAGATATACAGTGGTACCTCAGGTTACATATGCTTCAGGTTACAGACTCCGCTAACCCAGAAATAGTACCTCAGGTTAAGACCTTTGCTTCAGGATAAGAACAGAAATCGTGCTCTGGTGGCATGGCGGCAGCAGGAGGCCCCATTAGCTAAAGTGGTCCTTCAGGTTAAGAACAGTTTCAGGTTAAGAACGGACCTCCGGAATGAATTAAGTACTTAACCCGAGGTACCACTGTACTGAACCGAGGCCATTTAGGGCTTTCAAACACGTGAACTTCCACATGTAGTCTGAAAGGGTGCTGCCCAGAAGCAGGTTTACTGCTTCAAGAACTAGGCCTCTAAAGGCAGATTTGCAGGGCGCTGAAGGTAGGGCTACAGGTGCAGCAGACATGAGAGGCAAGTACAAGAGGAATAAAAATAGTTTTTGCTGTTGACTCACTGTGCCATGTTTACCGCTTGGCAGGCACTATACAGTTCTTGCCTTCCATATCCACAGTTGAAAACTCTGCAGAGCACTGAAGTGCATGCAGATGGCAAACAAATGAGCACGTTTGGCAGCAGACCTCTCTATCTTTGCTTCCCTTTCCCCACAGATTTTGGAATCTGCCTAGAGATCAGAACTGTCTAACCTTGAAATCTGCCCAGAAAAACATGTTTAAATAACCAGGTTAATTTAAGGTTACCAGACATCCCTGTTTCCTGGGGACAGTCCCCAGATTTACACATCAGTTTCCATACAAAATCCATTGAAGTTGAAAAGTGTCCCCGGATTCATTGGGGAAAAAATCTGGTAACCTTAAAGGTAAAGGTAGAGGGAACCCTGACCATTAGGTCCAGTCGTGACCGACTCTGGGGTTGTGGCGCGCATCTCACTTTATTGGCCGGGGGAGCCGGCGTACAGCTTCCTGGTCATGTGGCCAGCTTGACAAAGCCGCTTCTGGCGAACCAGAGCAGCGCACGGAAACGCCGTTTACCTTCCCGCTGGAGCGGTACCTATTTATCTACTTGCACTTGGTGCTTTCGAACTGCTAGGTTGGCAGGAGCAGGGACCGAGCAACGGGAGCTCACCCCGTCACGGGGATTCAAACCGCCGACCTTCGGATCGGCAAGTCCTAGGCTCTGTGGTTTAACCCACAGCACCACCCGCATCCCTTCTGGTAACCTTAGGTTGTTGTTGTTGTTGTTAGATCACTATCCTCTTTGTGATGAATGCATATGTCAGAATCCCCATTCCATGCACACTCCTCTTTAACAGCAGTGAATGTGTCACCAACAGGTTGCTTAAATGTTAAGATGCAGCTGATCTGTCATTAATCCTGCGCGTACACCCTTGGACCTGATCACATGGGGATTTTGTCTGTGACCGAGCATACTGATTCAGTGCATCCAGTTTTGCCACAAGCTGCCTGGGAACTGAGATGCTGCTCATATAATAGAACAGGTGAATTGCTGGCAAAGGACAGTGAGCTGTACCAAAACGCTGTCCAAAATAGTTCTGATGGAGTTGGGGTAGGTAGACACCTGATGTCAAGCTTAGCTACCAAACCCAGCACAGACAGGATTGCCACCATCTTTCCCCAGAAGGGCTCCTAAAACGGCATGGCAGACAAACTCAGTAGGTGATTTGTTTCCTGGCGGTTACTGAATTTCCAAGTAGCCAACAGCTGTTGAAAACATGCCCACGCACACCCAAATGTGCCATTTCTGAGCCTAAGAAACTACCATCACATGAGTGTATTCATAAATGTCCTTTCCAGTGTTTTCTCCATGTGTATGAGACGGCTTTCGGGCTGGTGATTTCTGCTTGCAATAACTTTGTTTTTATTTCCCCATGGAACTGTCCAAGAGGGCTGGAGAATTCTAAAAACGGTAAACATTGCATGCCATCAATTTCACATAAGCAGGACAGGCAGTTTACTCCTCCAGGTGGTATTCCCCTGCATGTGCAAGAAATGCCAGTGCAGATCCTCCTCTCTGGTAAGCCAAGGCTTGCCCAGGAGTAGGAGCAAGAATAACTGAGACCACTTCACAGACAGTGGCTGAGGAGCTTTGGCGAAGCTGTGTGGAGGCATTTGGGGGTTGAGCAAAAGCTGATCTAGGGGAGCACAACCAGTTCAGGTTTAGAGCTTTTGGGGTGCCGCAGCTGCGAAGTCCAATAGAAGGTGCCAGATTTTGACGTTGCACAGAGAGCATATGCTGGTGTAGAAGAGTGCACAAAAATGCTAACCCTAACATACAAAACGCATTGCATTAGGGAAAATTGCATACAAAAAGGTGTGTATTAGAAATTGGCTCTAAAGTGTTGATGAATTTTAACGAGGGCTTTATTCTTAAAAAAGAAAGAAACTGATGTGGTGAACTGAAATTAGCGCAGGAAAAAGGAGGAACCGAAAGAAACCAAAATGGACTGATTCACCCATCCTAATTGAGCAGCGAGGGAACTGGAGTGCAGGATTGGAAGACACAGCTAAGACTTCGGGGAGGACAAAACTGTGTTTGTAATGGCTAGCTCAAAAGACAGGCATTTTCCTCTCTTTTACATACTACCCACTTAAAACAGGGTCAGCCGTCATTCTCTCCCAGGAAATGTCATTGCAGATTGTTCATAATAGAATGTTCAGCACCTTTGCCAAACTTTAAGTTTTGGGGAGAAGCCATGGCTGTTAAACTGGTAGAAAGCCTATAGGCAACTGTAATAGAGATGTGCTCACAGAAGCAGCAACTGTTTCTTCCTCCACTTGCCGCCTCTTGTCACATACGTTTCTTCACAGGAATTTTAGTGATTAAGACAACTGCTTTGCATAAGTGTCCATCAGGTCATGATAAAAACGTAAAAAACAAACCCGTTTAAGACTATGTGCTACCTTGCTCAAACTTTTGCCTCGCTAATGATCAGAAAACCCTTTCTGGTTTATCATTTTCTTACAGCCTTCAGATAAAGCTGCAGCCCTTATGTTTGCCAGAGAAGGCATAGGTCTCCCTAGCTGGGTGGGAAGCTATATGGGAGCAATGCGCTGCGCATATGCTCATTTCTCTAATCCGGCAGATGTGGTGGTGGTGGCTGAATTTGTTTTTATTAATAGATTTTCTGGGGTTGAGGTGGGGGCACTAATTTATTGGGTTTCAGGGAGCCAGATTAATTCCCCTTCTTCCCGCTCAGCAACCCAAAGCAGGATTTTAAAATACTTCTGCAAAACAGAGCCCTGGTTGTGTTACATTTCCTACAGTGAGTCAGGGCACTGAGTCTTTCCTTCATTTAATTTTCACATCTCTAAGAAATATACAAAACAAGTGATCAGGCTGAAGAAGAAGAAGAGTTTGAATTTGATATCCCTCCTTTCACTCCCTTTAAGGAGTCTCAAAGCGGCTAACTATCTCCTTTTCCCTTCCTCCCCCACAACAAACACTCTGTGAGGTGAGTGGGGCTGAGAGACTTCAAAGAAGTGTGACTGGCCCAAGGTCACCCAGCAGCTGCATGTGGAGGAGCAGGCAAGCGAACCCGGTTCCCCAGATTACGAGACTACCGCTCTTAACCACTACACCACACTGGCTCTCTGCCTTCTTACTGCTGCCTTCTTTTTCTCTAGCGGGTGGGGCAGAGATACTCTTCTTTATACATACTGAGCTTGGCCTTTAAATTCCATAACATATCCTGACCTGAGCCACACCCTTGAGTGGGATATATTGGGAAAATGTTGTGATTTCGGGATGGGAACATTGGACAAGGATGGGTCCGGAAAAGCAGCAAAAAACCACAAAGCTGCAATTCTCAGGAGAGGAGCTTCTGAGATGTGCAAGTGGTAAAGACGAGACAGTTTCACTCTGGGAGCACGAAGGGGAGGGCACCACCGCATAAATTCTCCACATATGGGCCTGTTGACAACCTGGGTTGCATTCTTTCCACAGCCAGTCTGGGTTAAATCCTTTGTCTACTTCCTCTCTAAGCTAAGTATTTCATCAAGCAAGGCGAGGAAAATGTTGGTGGCCATGTCATTGAGTCTAAAGAGAAGTTTCTGCACAGCCTGCCATGACCATCTCTCCACAGGGGATGGAGCCCTATGGAATGCCTAACACAACATGGTAATCAAAGTACACCCCACCCCATTGATAGTGGCAGAAGGAAGAGTCAGCCCACGTAGCCAAGGCTCTCCAGTGCGAATTACCATCCATTAGTGCCAGAGAAGCTGCCCACAGGCCTTTCCTTGAAGCGCAAGTATGGCAGGAGTAGCTTGGGTGAAGGGGCAAGACGGGTGCCTCCTCTGTTCAATTATAGTGGCACGTCATCGTCGTCATCCTCAGACACGTCTGTGGGGCGCAGGTTGAGGTCCTTCAGGATGCCTGAGATGTTCTCAGCAGCTGGGCCAGAAAGCTCCAGTTCCTCCAGTTCCATATCAGCCACTGAGGCAGAGCGCACCACCGCCTTCCCTCCACTGGGGGCGGGAGAGGGTGGCGGGAAGGGAGAGCCAGGGGCCACCGGGCTCTCTGTCCCTGAGTCTACTGCGGTACTGCTGGGAGCTGCCGCTGCCGCTGCCGCCGCTGCATCACTGTCGTGCTTGCTCCACATCTGTGCAGTCCACTTGGCCTGCTCCTTGCCACCCGCCGTCTGGGTAGTGTCACGGAAGCTGGCCAGGGGAGGACGAAGGCGAACACCAGAGCTTGTGGTGCCCTCAATCGCTTTCTGGAGCTGAGAGTTACAGAGAGGGAATGAACAGAGCTGAGAGTTACAGAGAGGGAATGAACACCACCAAATAAACAAGTCTACAGTTCTGAAGGACCTGGAAATCTCCAACATTCACTGAGTGCCTGGCTCCTCCTTGGCAGGTGGAGGTGGGTATGGCTATAAATGAGTCCATCTCGAATCAAAAGATCAGAAAATATCCATGCACAGGATGCTGGGTCTCAATTTGTGGAATCTCAATAGAAATACTTGGCCATATCTGCACCACAGATAGTAGTGGTTTGAGCAGACCTTGCGTCATCCCAGGGAACCCTGACAATGACAATTCTACGCAGGGCCTAAAGGTAAAGGTTAAAGGACCCCTGACAGTTAAGTCCTGTCGCAGACGACTCTGGGGTTGCGGCACTCATCTCACTTTATAGGCCGAGGGAGCAGGCGTTTATCCGCAGACAGTTTTCCTGGGTCATGTGGCCAGCATGACTAAGCCGCTTCTGGCGCAATGGAACACCGAAACCAGAGCAGCGCATGCAAACGCTGTTTACCTTCCCACCAGAGTGGTACCTATTTATCTACTTTTTGGCGTGCTTTCGAACTGCTAGGTTGGTAGGAGCTGGGACCGAGCAACAGGAGCTCAACCCGTTGCGGGGATTTGAACCACCAACCTTCTGATCGGCAAGCCCGAGAGGCTCAGGGGTTTAGACCACAGTGCCACCCGCGCCCCTACATGTGGGGCCTAGAAGCCTTTAATAAGCAATCATCAGCACCATCACTAAGCTAACATCCCACTAGTGGGGCAGCTGTGAGATAAAACCAGCAGGAACTCGCTGGAACTGAGTTCTGGCACCTCTTTTTCTAGAAAAATAGCACTGGATAAAACCAGTGTTAATGTATGAACATGGCAAGACTGCTTTGATCATACCTCTCTTTAAAACTATTTGTCTGCCTTGAATCGTAGTGGCTGAATCTTTTACTCCTCTAGGCAAGAGCCAACTGGCACTGGACAATGCAATGACTATCTGAGACTGATCAAAGGAATACAAAGGTAGCAAAGTTAAATTTACCTCTTCCAGGGCAATCACACCTCTCAGCTTCCCCATACTGGTTACATAGGCATGGCTGAGTCCCAGCAATGAAAACAAGGTGTGTGTCTGTGAGAGGGGAGAGATAAGGCAGTTTCTATCAGTGAGAAAAGAGAAACAGGCCGGTCATTGTAGATTCATGGAGAATCTGAATCGGACATGGTGGATTTTGTTGCACCCAAGTCAAGAAGAGAAAATTCAGCAAAGCCAAGAGATGAAATCTTCGTGCTTGGACCTGAACCATTAATGGTGCAGATCCCACCTACTGTAATGTTTTGTTGGGGTTGAGAAGAAATTGTGGCAAGTCAGCTGGTATTAAGTATAACATACTGAAATTAATGTAGCATAAGAACCATAACTACAGAAACTGAATTACAGGTTATGTTTTCGTCTGAATGAATCTGATGAGCAGTTCTGTACTACATGTGACCCTCCAAGCTCAACCCAGGTCACTGCCAGGTGTTGGCTTGTCAGGGGCTTGAGAACCTTTTGTTTCTGCCCCACCTCCCCCATAATTCCAGGCAAGCAGACAAATGATACCACACAAGTTGGGTGACCCACCAAAGTTTCAACAAACCCAGGGCTTTTTTCAGGTGGAACTCATTGGAACTCTCAGGTGGGTGCCATTGCCATTCTATGAGAAAGAGAGAGGCGTTCATGGTGAGTTCCAGCACCTATTTTTCTAGAAAAACAGCACTGAACGAACCTCTTGTTTATGGAGCTCACCTGAAACTAAAGATAACCCTAAAGTTCTCAGATACCTGGCAGCTCACAGTAGATGGTTGGTGATGGCTGTGCTCCACTTGGGAATCACAAGTTGTCCAGCTTATGGTCAGGAATGGCTGTGCATTCCAGGGGAGGTGGAGAGGGAGGATAACTGATGAGGCATGGAGGCATGGCTTTGTGTCTGTAAAATCATGGCATAGGCCCTACAACAGGAAGGTCTGAGAGTTCTGTCTTTGGCTGTTTGCCTCTTGCATATGTGAAAAAGTGATTATGAAATACAGTTTTGACCAAGAGTCGTTAAAAAAAGTAGACAAGATTGGAAAGCAAGAGGAGGGCTGGGGACTGTGGGGGCTGGCCAAAGATGGCGGTGGAAGACGGAAAAGGACAGGGCAGCGACACTCACTTTGTGCAGGGATGTCCTCTCCACCAGCTGAAAGGGCGAGGGGTCTATGCGGCAGCTGTTGAAGCACACGTTTTTCTCTAGCTCCTCCTGCTCCCAAGCTTCTATCTGACACAGGAAAGATGCATTCACACACAGAGGTTGCACTCCTATCTTTTCCAAGGCTGCTGCTGCTCCCGCCAGCCATATCCCGTAGACCATATGTGTTCTGCCTTCCTTGGGCCATTTCAGACAGGTTCCTTAATAAACTTTTCCTGCACTTAGTGCCCTGGAAGCCTGCCTGAAGCCATTTCTAACCGGGATTAAGTTCTCCTTATTTCCTGTATTCCTTGCAAGTCTCTCCTACCCCTTTCGCCCTTGTTGTCTGTTGTGCTTGGAACTCCTTGTTAAAACAACTTCCCCTCTTCCCAGCCGACCGTTTCCATAAAGTCTATGGGTTTAACTCATAATTCCTCATCCCCTACTGAAACTAATTCTTCTTTGGAGATCACTCATAGCCGAGTAAAATTGCCTTCCATAAACACGGTCTTAACAGTGAGTCCGTAAGTGACTGTGGAAGCCAATTTTGGATCCACACGTCCTTCCACAGTGGGGACACAGGTTTCCGGGTGGGAGTTGATCATGGTAAGGGTTTGCCAAGTGTGCCTTCCTCTTAGCATGTTTCTCCCTTTTGTCCTGAGTTCGAGTGTCTTCAAAGCCCATGACACCTTTGGTAAAGGCTGTTCTCCAGTTGGAGCGCTCTCAGGCCAGTGTTTCCCAGTTGTCGGCGCTTATTCTACATTTTTAAAGATTTGCCTTAAGAGAGTCTTCACTTAAACTAATAAGTTTCATATCTGAAGCACTCTTCCTGCCTTGAATTCTGAGCACTGCAATTTGTTATGGATTACTGGGAATTGCAGCTCTATGAGGGATGGACTACAGTTCCCACCAGAATTCTTTTGAGGGGGGAAATGTTCTTTGAAGGTATAGTGTGTACACAGCTCAAGTTTGTCCTGGGTCAGACTAGAAATTAAAGTAGGAATTTAGACCTTGTGTCCTCACCAATATGCCACTTCAGCAAATAATGAGAGAAGTTATAGACCCTAAGCTGGTCTATGACCATAATAAAGATTTGGTTTGATTTGTTATAGACCCTTCTCTTAGGACATTATTGGCACACTAACAAAGAGTTAATGTTCTAGGCTGCAATCCTGTTCATGGGCTAAGTGGGACTGATGGGGTATAAGAAGCAACACAGATTAAAATAGTTTCATTTCCTTTTTTGAAAATTAATTTTGAAAGGATCTGTCTCCCTAAACCTTGCTGACAATCTCTCTTAGAATCCACTCACCCAAAAATATCTGAGACAGTTCTCTTAGTTCACATCTGGGGCTGCGTTCGCAATTTACCTTTTTATTTTATTTTTAATATTTTTTATTAAATGTTACATAATTTTATCATCAATGTAACATTCACATAACAGAAAAGAAAAAATACTATTCCCAAATCTCCCCCACCCCTCGTGACTTCCCTCAACTCCCTCTTCTGTTTGTTTGTTTTCTTACATATTATTTTCTCCTGCTTGTTTGGTATTCTAACTTTTAAAGTCTTTAAAATAGTTATTATTGTCCTCTTGATATTTTAACATCATTGTTATTAGGGAAGCTTTTAATGTTTAATAGGTTATCGTATTTTAATATTCTGTTGGAAGCCGCCCGCAGTGGCTGGAGAAACCCAGCCAGATGGGCGGGGTATAAATAATAAATTGTTGTTGTTGTTGTTATATTTTCTGTATCTATTTTGATAATTGTAAGTGTTTAATCAAAATCTACTAGTGAGTCCATTTCACCGCATTGTTTCCGTAGGTGTAGCATAAATGGTTCCCAATCTTTCTTAAAGTCTCTATTGTCCTTATCTCGAAGTCTTTCAGTTAACTTTGCCATTTCAGTGTATTCCATCATTTACGCAGTTTGCCTTTAAAACACATTTCCCGCCTCAAAGAATTCTGCTTTAGAGGCAAAGCAGAAGATTCAATATGTGTAGCTGACCTGAATGCATATATGTGTCCTCCTTCTTTTTCCTCCATCTTCCTCCCTCTAGGTTAAATTTTAGATTGTAAGCTACCTGGGACAGGGAGCTGCTTACTGTTCATTGCTATGTAAAGCACAAAACCCCCAACTTCTTGCCAACTGAGAAAGGGGGCAAATCTTGCGATTTCTTTCCAAAGCAATCCCATGACTGGTCCATGGCATCTCCTGACATGGGGATGGCAGCCTGGTCAGTTCCCTCCACCCCTCTGCCCCTCTCTTATGCTTCTAAACATACCTCTTCTGGCTTCATTGGGTCTTCAAACTCTGGGGACTCCTGGTGGGAACAGAAAATAAATCCCAAGATTAGATCAAGTATTGAATACACATCAGATTCTCAGGATAGGAGAAATGCAGTATCTTCCTTAATAAGCCTCAGGGTTTTCTTATTTTTATTCATTTTCTTTACACAGTACAAATATGTAGAATGTTGATGTGAGTTTTAATCCGGTTTTAGGTCATCAAGGATTTAATTTTTTTAAAAAAAATGTTTTCAATGTTTTTACTGATCGTTTTATTGTTACGTTCTTTTTTATTTTAAGACATAACAAACAAATAAATAGTTCCTGTCCCACCCACCTGGATATAACGGCACAAAGGCTCCAACACAGACAGAAGGCTGCGGTTATAAAGCCCAAAATGTAAATTATATACCTGTGAGGTGAAACTGTCTGCAATCCAATAGTACAAAAGCAAAACAGAAGAAACACGATAGGGACCAAAAGGCAGTTTTATGTCAATCAAATGTTTTAAAAGGCTCCCCCGCCCACTGCCATTTTGGTCACACTCCTGGACCAACCAGTTCGTCATTTTGAGGTGTCATCTCTCTCATTACATTACATTACATTACTTCTCCATTTTCAACCCAACAAATGCTCCTGTCTTAGAAGCCAGCAGCCCCTGCTTTCCAGTCAGGCACAAAGGCCTCCTCACCTGCTCAGCCATCTCTTGCTGATGTGGAGGGTGGTAAAGGCACAGGAGGTACCGCATCAGTCTCCTCAAGCGCCAGAATCTCCGTCCTGTGGGAAGTAAGACCAGAGGAAGGAATGTGTGGTCCCCCCACCTACTCTATAATCTAGACCAGGGGTCAGCAACCTTTTTCAGCCGTGGGCCGGTCCACCGTCCCTCAGACCATGTGGTGGGCCAGACTATATTTTGGGGGGAAATATGAACAAATTCCTATGCCCCACAAATAACCCAGAGATGCATTTTAAATAAACGCACACATTCTACTCATGTAAAAACACACTGATTCACAGACCGTCTGTGGGCCGGATTCAGAAGGCAATTGGGCCGCATCCGGCCCATGGGCCTTAGGTTGCCTACCCATGATCTAGACCAACAAACAAATGTACAGTTGTGGCCTTTTTATGCCCATAAACCTTAAATAACGTGTCCAGTGTCTTCATTTCACATGGGGGGAGGGGACTTGCCACGCAACTGGAGACAGCTTGGCCAATTCTCTTTTATTTCTGTCAGATCTTCCCTACAGTAGGACAATAAAGGCTTGTTCGCCCAAGGGTGAACATCCCCTGATGATTCAACACCTGGTGGCTCACAAAACTGAATTTGGGAAAAGCGTTGTGCTTGGAGTTGATGTGCGGTCGCATAAATGTGCTTTGCAATGCTTCATCTATGGTGGCTCATCCACACATGCAAGTGACCACCTGGTGCTTCAGGCATCAAGTGGTAAACCAGTATAAGTGATCAAGTGGGATGGGGGAAAAAATTGCTGGAAGGCATGAGTTTTGAAGGGCAAATGATGAGGCACAGCCAGGGATTTATTCAAGGCGATGACGGGACCAGAAACTGGGATGGAATTTCTATAACACCTCAGCTAAGAAAGGGGGTAAGGCCAAGTAGGGCTTTCTTCCCTTTTCCCAGGGACTCAGCTACACTTGTCAATTATATCATTATAACTATGTTATAAACATATACACCAGATGGCTCTGTAGAGCAGTGATCCGTCACCAAAGGAATTTTGCATTGAGAGCTTTTATAGCGTTTTCCCCCCTATAGCGTGTTTTTTTTAATCAGTACAGATCCAGTACAGATCAGTACAGAGGCGCTGCGCTTCCCCGCTATCCCCGGAGCTTGCGGGGCAAGCTTCGTTTTGCGAAGCAAGCCCATAGGGAAATGCGTCTTGCGAGCCCATAGGGAAATGCGTCTAAGAAAACGAAAAACTCCTTCGTCTAGCGAGTTTTTCGTCTTCCGAGGCGTTCGTCTTGCGGGGTACCACTGTATCAAAGAAAGAGGATAGGAAGCAACATGACTGAATTTGTGAAACAACAGAAATCATGTAGCAGCATGAAGGGAAGCCTTGGCAGCAGAGGTGACCAAACTATGGGGCTTCCTGTATCTTCACTCCTGTTTTCCTCCAAGTGAGGAAAGATGAGTTGATGACAGGACTCATGATCCACTCTGTAGCAACACACTTGCGGTCTCTAATCCCCTCCCATTTCCCACAGAACAGATGGGCAAGGGCAGTCAAGCTTCCAAGTGCTGACTGGGATGGCCACCAGCTTTGATGGCTTTAAAAGAAGATTACCATATTTTTCGCTCTATAGGATGCACTTTTCCCCCTCCAAAAATGAAGGGGAAATGTGTGTGCGTCCTATGGAGCGAATGCAGGCTCCCTGGCTTCAGCGATAGCAACGCGAAGCCTCCGAAGCCTGCGCTCCGGAGGCTTCCCGTTGCTTTCGCTGAAGCCAGGAGAGTCTGGTCTTTGAGGCTGGCGGTGGGGGAAAGCAGCACTCCCCCCCCCCGCCAGCCCCACAAGCTCGGTCGAAAAGCCTGCAGGAGCCGCACGCTCTTTAAAGGGTGCGCGGCTCCTGTGGGCTTTTGGGGGAGATGGGGGAATTCCCCCACCTCCTGAAAAAGCCTGCAGGAGCAGCGCAGCCTTTGAAGAGCGCACCGCTCTTGGGGGCTTTTCCCCAAGGAGGGAGAAGGGACTGACTGGCTGAGTCCGTCCCTTCTCCCTCCTGTGGGCTTTTGCGGGAGAAGGGGGAATTCACCCACCTCCCACAATAGCAGGGAGGTCTGGGAGAAGTGCGCAGGCTGCGTGCAGCCTGTCCACTGCTCCCAGAGATGGGGGGGGTCATTTTCTTCCCCTTGATTTCCCCCTCTGAAAACTAGGTGCGCCCTATGGTCAGGTGCGCCCTATAGAGCGAAAAATACGGTAGACAAAGTCATGGAGCAATACCAGTTGCTGAAAACCACAGAAGGGGCGAGTGCTCTTGTCCTTGGGTCTGGCTTGCTTGGTTTCCCATAGCTATCTGGTTGGTCCCTGTGAGAACAGGATGCTGGACCAGATGGGCCACTGGCCTCATCCAGCACACTCCTCTTACACTCTTCTGTCCCACCCCAAGACAACAGGTTATGTATTTCTGTACCTGGAGTTTCCTGAGGGGTTGGTGACTCTGGCAACGGCTTGTGAGGAGCCACTGGGCCATTGGGTGGTTCTGAGAAACTGCTGATGAAAGCAGGCTGTTGTGGAAGCTGCAGGAGAAAGGTGAGCAAAACAAGGACCAGGATTTAACTTTAAATATTTTTCATCTATTTTGCAACTTTCCCAAATATTCTTTGGCTACATTATTGCAGCAATCTCTGCATTAATCTCTCCAAGCATACATGACAAAGTAGGACTGATGTTGAATGAGTGAATTCTCAACAGGTGAGATTTTAACCAGAGAATTCCAGGTCCAAATCTCATCTTCTTATAACAATGCTACACTTGTTTTCTCCCCCTTTCCTTCTTCCCACTCCTGCTCCTTCTTTCACTCTCCTCTTGGGCTCTGTTCCTCACCTTTTCCTTCACTACCTCAGGCTTCTCTTCTTCATCCTCATCCTCATCCACAAAAGCAAACGATTCGTGCTTCCACCTGTGCCCGTCATACGGTGTCTCGGCCAGTTTCTGCTGCTGTGTTTCCCTGGCCAAGCGCAGACGGCGCTCAGTGCTGAGGTGTCTGAGCAGAAGGGCCTGGAGCTCTGGCCTCTCCACAGAGCCCAGCAGGATCATGGACTCTACAGGAGGAGAGGGAAAGAACGAAAGCAAGTAAGGCCAAGTAGGGCTTTCTTCCCTTTTCCCAGGGACTCAGCTACACTTGTCTTTTTTATTTTATTATTTTTTATTGATACAGCAAGAAAAAAAGAAAAAACACAAATACCAAATTACACACAAGAATAACCATAGACACATAATCTTCTTAACAAACAATAAAACATATATTGGTCTTAACACTAAGGACCCAACCTCCCGTCTATTCCATATTTCGATTTCATATTACTTATTGCCAATACACACTTTTATCATAACTGAACTTTTTCTTAATATATCTAATTTCTTATATCTACCTTGCAACTATTACTGAAGTTCCTCGAACGCCGCAACAGAATTTACACTACTATATTTATTTTTCAAATATTCTTTGAAAACCTACCATTTTGAAACAAATTCCTGTTTTGATTTATTCTTTATATTTTTCTGATAGATCATCTAATTCGGCATATTCTGTCAGCTTTTGGATCCAATCGTGTATAGAGGGGATTTCATTACTCTTCCATTTTGCCACAATCAGAACTCTTGCTGCCACCGTCGCATATAAAAAGATACCGTTCCTCTTTTGCGGAATATCCAAATCTGTTATTCCCATGAGGTAGGCCTCTGGTTTTTTATTGAAAGGGATCTTTAGCATTTTTTGAAGTTCTGCATGGATACTCTCCCAGAATACCTGTATTTTCCTACATATCCACCGCATATGGTAGAAAGTTCTGACTCAGCTACACTTGTCAATTATATCATTATAACTATGTTATAAACATGTACACCAGATGGCTCTGTAGAGCAGTGATCCATCACCAATGGAATTTTGCATTGGAGAACTTTTATAGCATTTTTCTTCTATAGCGTTTTTTTAATCAGTACAGATCCAGCCCAGCTAACATGTGGCCTGGGAGCTAGTTGTCTAAACCACAGGGATTATCAAAAGAGGAAGGCCCCAAGTGGGCTGCTGAGTCAACTGGACTGTCAAACAGGGGCGGAGGAAGGTGGGTGCAGACCGCTCTGGGTGTCACCACTGAGGGGAGTGACAAAATGCCAGGCGGCACTCACTGCGGAGCTGCAGCGTGCCCGAGCCACACATCTCTCCTGGGAGAGACGTGGTGGCTTGGTTGTGCGCAGGCCCCGCGCTGCCCAAACAGTCTGTCTGCTGCCTCCCCCCTCCCTCAGCTTTAGGGTGTCTGAGTGGGAGGAGGCAGGCAGATTCTGGGGGCCCTGCGGTGCGCCCCACCCCTATGGGCGGCTCATGCCGCACCTGGGCACACCGCCCCAGGCTCCCAAGTGGCTTCCTCCGCCGCTGCCATCAAACCCATATGAGGAAGACAAGGTCTCTCTAGAATGATCCATGGGTCCTGACATGCATTTTGTCTAGAAAGACCAAGAACCAGGCTCTAGTTATGCAGCAAACAAGGTGCCACTGAAGTAGAGATTGCCAGCATGGTCAAACTGCCAGTCTCATCAGTCCCACCAAATACAACGAGGGATAGTGAAAACTTTAGTCAAACATAGGGAGAGCTCAATGTTGGCTGCTACTGCTCTAAAGGCTGAGGGTCCACCCACCCACCCTCCACAACAGGCCAGTTCTATGTAGGCTCAAAGGTAGAGAAGTGTCCACTTAGTATCTCTAGGAATACCTTCAAGGAGGGTGACTATCTCTGCAAGTTCTAGAGCACTAGTCTTTTTGATAAAAGGAAACTGTGTTCAGGGGAGCTCTAGTGTCTCTTGGAAGCTTATATTTGGCTCCTCGATGAGAAAACCAGGAATAGTAGACGTGTTTTCATAAAAGACAACTTCCCTATCTTTACTAGGTTTCATCCTTTGCAATATGTGGTGTCAGAGAAGCGTTAGTTGCATTCTAGACCTCTTGGGCCCATTCTCCATTCATGTGGGGTAAAACATAAGACTCAACAGGGCTCTGGCCAGTTTCCTGCAAAAGAATGCAACTGTATTGCATAGAACATGCCCAGAATGCTCTCTGCAAACTTCTGGAGTCCCTTGGATGCAGAAAGTGTTCTCTGAAGGTAGAACGTTTGGGAAACGCTGTCCTAGAGACCTGACAGAATCAAAGCCGTTTTGGATAGGAAAAGGTGGCGCCCAAGGTTATTTAAATCTTTGGTCCGGAGCCAGTATGTGGTGGTATAATTTTCCACTTGGCAAATTCTGCAAGGTCCTGGTTTTCTTAGTCAGAGCTCGTTGCAACCAAACAACCTGCTTCTGGCTCTCATCCTAGCTCTCAAACACATGCCTAACCACACTGCTGTCCCTCTAGAAATATACTCGTCTTTCTCCTGTGCCTCCTCCCTCTTCACAAACAGAATGAGGTTTTCACACAGAGCAGCAGCAGTTGAGCCCACTCTGACACCAGCCTGTTGAAGCCTCCTCTCCCACAGAAAGCACCGGTCCATCAAGCCAAGTGGTTGGTGGCCAATTCCTGCTGTTCATGCCTTCTGTTGCAGTTTCCCTCTTCTCCTGCCAAGTTCTCTGAGCAGATTCCTCAACCCTCTCCACCAGTCATAACTCACAGAATTGTACAAGGCATCAGAAGTGACAAAGGCATTCACACGACTTATTATTAGGCAGGTGTTCAGGGTTGGTTGTTGTTTTTTAGTAGACCTGAGACCAGTTCTGGCAGGATTTTTTTTAGTAAACCTGAGACCAGTTCTGGTGGGATTTTTACCGTTTCAAGACCAGGAAATACACGTAGATTATTTTCAAGACAGTTTCACCCTGGAGGCATAGAACCTACAAACTAGACTTGGGAAAGTCTTGGCCCTCTAGGACTAGCTTGGGAAACCATTCATGAGGAAATACAGAAAATACTTTGGAGAATTAGCAGAACATCAAAAGGAAGAGCTGGAAGAGGGTGAAAGAGAAGAAAGTGCAGAAGGAGAGGAGATAAGCAGAGAAAGGAGGAAGTAAGGAGGAAGGAGAAGGAGGGAGGGAGGGATAAGAGGAGAATAAGTTATAAAAGCAAAGAGGTTAAAAAGTTAAAGTTAGAATATAGGAGGAGGGTAGGGGAAGAGTAAAGAGAAGGAGAAAGGATGGATTTGAAAGTACTATCATGGAACGTAAATGGTTTGAATATTAAAAGCAAAGAGAAACAAAATAGCACATACTTTAACAAAAACTAGATATTATTTGTCTACAGGAAACACATGTAAAGAGACAAGACAGTATGTTTATTGGTAAACAAAGGGTTGAACCAAGAATTCATTTCATCAGACCACATGGCTTCTTCAGGCCATGTCCCCCAAAATAAATAAAATACTAACAGGGGATCAAAAAATAATAATCCAATGAAAACCAGAGTTGTGTTTAAACAAAAAGTGAGAATGAAACCATGCAGATAGTTTGGCTTAGTGCTAACTGAGTTTTCCTCTGCCCACCAACAATATGTTATCATGCCAAGGAACTGATCAGGAATTCAGTTCTTAGGGTTTGCTGAGCACCAAAGTGCTTGGAAACTTTTTGGGGGGGGTCAGGGGTTTGGGATGGATGTGAGCTACCTCTGAATTCATCAGTGGGTCTGGTTCCTCGCCCATCTCACCTGGTGAATCCACAAGAGGAAAGGTCTTGACAGTGGTGTGCTCAAGAGCATCCTGCACGTCCCGGTATTTGCAGTTGGAGGAGATGAATTTCACATCGCACACCATAATATCCTCCACAAAGATATTGTATTTGCTTAAGTGGCCGGAAGTTAAAATCAAAGGGAAGAAAATGAGTAAGTTAAAGAAAAAAGAGGTGGTGGCTTAATTAACTAATTTGTCAGCTAGTTAGTTAATAGCCCTCCACCCACCCACCAGCAACTGTATTCTGCTTGAAGAATCCTCAGGGCAGCTGCTACATATAAGATTGTAGTAAAATCCAGACAATGGAAATATAGATAGATGACTATGAGAGATAAAATGGTAGTAAAATCCATAGGAGGAGAAATTCCACTTAAAATAACTCCAAATGTCTGCCAGAATTATATATAGGAGACTTCTTGAAACAGACTATCAAGCAGGCTAGCCAAATGCCTCCAGGGAGGGAGTTCCCCAAAGAGGGGTCCCCCTTCTGAGAAAACACTGCCTCACACCAGTTTAATGCTGCTGCCACTTGGAGCAGGACCCTATCTGATGACTGAAGAACCCTGGAAAGCCAGTATGGGAGAAGGGCATTCCTTGAGGTAGCCTGGGTGCAGGCTATTTGCTTCAGGAAGAAAAGGAGTTAAGGTCATAGAGAAATGGAAGCAATGCAGAGAGGTTCGCCTCAGATGGAGGCAGGAAATAGACTGTGGGCTTATCCATACTTCCTCTTGTCCTGCTCCTCTCCCCCAGGGAACACCACTCTTTAGCACTCAATCAGAGCAAACGGCAAATTGAGTTTTCCCCAGAACACCATTTTAGCTCTATTGCTAAATAGGGGCGGGTGGTGCTGTGGGTTAAACCACAGAGCCTAGGACTTGCCGATCAGAAGGTCAGCGGTTCGAATCCCTGTGACGGGGTGAGCTCTCGTTGCTCAGTCCCTGCTCCTGCCAACCTAGCAGTTCAAAAGCACATAAAGTGCAAATAGATACATAGGTATCGCTCTGACAGGAAGGTAACCTGTGTTTCCGTGCACTGCTCTGGTTCGCCAGAAGCGGCTTGGTCATGCTGGCCACATGACCTGGAAGCTGTACGCCGGCTCCCTCGGCCAATAAAGCGAGATGAGCGCCGCAACCCCAGAGTCGGTCACGACTGGACCTAATGGTCAGGGGTCCCTTTACCTTTATTGCTAAAGAACAGGATTTCTCTTGGAAAGGGGTGGGGCAAAAAGGGGGAAGCGCTCAGACAGGGGTGGTTGCCCCAGGAACAAATTTCAACACCCAGAACTGCCTCAATATAGTTGTTTGCTTCCATCACTGGGCTCCGTTGAAAACGGAGGAAGTAACCTCTCCAGCAAACCAGGAAGTGACCTCTCCAGACAACGTAAACGAATCTTCTTATCACTGCGGCTGCAATCTCCTGGGTGATGCAGACACTGTTAGGTAGCTGAATGCGCATGAATACTCCTGTCCGTTTTCCTCCCTGCTCTGCGCTGCCCTGGGCAACATGCAACCCATGCTACACCACTGGGTGGACTCATTCACACCCCCTTCTCATCATTTGACTCCATTCCCTCCCTCTCATCCCCTCTTATTATTATAATACCTTATTTGATTCCATCCCAAGTCTGGCAAATAGGGCAATTTCTTAACTTGGATGATGCTGTCGTAGAGACTTGGCTGCAAACTCTGGGCCACCATGTTGGCAAGGATGACGGCCACCATCATGGGCAGGATGTGGGAGATTTGACCCGTCAGCTCAAAGCAAATCACTGCTGTGGACACCGTGTGGCTCACTGCACCAGTCAAAGCGGCGGCTCCTTTTCCCAATTACAGGACATGGAGAAAGAGCGGGTAAGTTAGCAGCATATGGACCATCCGTAGCTTAGATTGAGATTTCAACCTAAGGAAAAAGGGATGTGGACTTACCAATCACGGCATAACCTCCAGGTAAGATTTTGTAAACAATGTCATCGAAGACAATCCCATCAGGGAAAAACCAGGCCATGATTTCACCAACCAGGCGTCCAAAGGCAGCCCCTATAAGCCATCATGAGATCACTGGTTAATGCAAGATCAATAAAAATTCTTTCCCCTCCCTGCCTTCATAGCTGTTCTGTGTCTGTGTTCTGCTAACAATGTACAAGAAAATATTGAGCAGTTAACGAGTCCCACTAGCAGAAGGTCTTCCATGAGCACTATTGAGCTTTTCCCTCCTTCTCCTCCCTCTGTGCCTCCCCACCACCACTACAAATTAGCCCTGGGGTATTGGGGAAACCCCCAGAGCAGCCAGGGGGTGGTTCTCTAATACCCCAGAAGAAGAAGAGAAGAGCTCATTCCATCTGAAAGACTTGAGCTGACAGAATGATCTTCTAAGTCCTGTGCTGAATTTCCCACTCTGCCTCAGGATTTGCTAGCAGGCGGCATAATTGATACTTGTGTAATATAATAGATGCACACAGGGCTTGAGCAAACTAACCCGCACTTTAAATTTTAAAACTGTATGTCTGCAGAGGAAGAACAATAAGCTTACTGCTGCTCCTTTGGCTCACTAAGTCTATACTCAAAGGAAGAGCTAGCTTTTTGTTTCTATCTTCCTATTCTGACCACTAGTAGGTTTTCTTAACGAAGGAAGGTATTGTGTTGGAGCCACATGAATAGGAGTGGTGCAGCCCAGCATTTGTGAGTTGTAGGAAGTGGCTAGAGAGTGAGAAGGAGCCGGGAGTGAGAAGCCGGCAACGAGCTGAAATATCAAGGGATTCCCTAATGGGGACCAGAAGGAGAACCAGGGTCCCAATCATTTCAAAGAAGCACCATCCAACGTCAATTTGCATTTCTGAGCAGATCAACACCATACATTTAAAGCACATTCAAGGGCACTTTTAAAGAATAGTTTCCCCCTCACAGAGCTACAGTTCCCAGCACCTCTAACCAACTATAGTTCCTGTTAAGTTGTGGGTGAACATATCAGACGACACAGTGATTCTTCAAACAGCTCTTGTTTATTCACAGGCCAGAACAGAACTGAACTGAAGTGTTCAGCCAGCCTGCTTATATAGAGCTCCACTAGAACACAACAGCAACCATTTTCTGTAACTATCCAATCACTGAACGTCACTTTCAATCCCTTATTTGCATATGTGGACCTGAGTGAAAACTATCTACAGTAACCCCCTGCTGGCCCAGGGTGAGAACTTCAGTAGGTAACAGTTCCAAGCATTCTTTTTTTGGGGGGGGGGTCACGTGTGTCAGAGGTGCTTTAAACATGTGGTGTGGATCTACCTTCGTTCAGTTCTCCCCCTCTCTCACAATCCCAGCCTCTGAAAAATTCCCCTCTGAGGAAAATACAGAAACTCACCCAGCACAAACACAGGCATGAAGCCTCCGCAAGGTATCGGCATGGTAGTGGCAACGACAGACATCCAGAACTAGAACAGAGGGGATAGGCAGCAATAGTTAGTGTATGGCACTGGTGGGGCATCTCTCACAGCTCCACTGAACTTACTCAGAGATGGACCAAGAAGATGACAGATATGGGGAAGGAGCAACGGAGTTGGGGGAGCCTAAAAGCCACAAGGGCAGTTCAAGAAACCCAGCCGCGTCCCCTAGGGTGGCTGACTGCCTAGGACAGGGATGGCCAACCTGGCTCATCACTACCACCTTCCCTGTCCCTTCTCAGTCTCAGTGTCCAGTCTGGTTAAAAAGGAAGTAAACGTTCATAAAGGTATTCCGGAATTTTGTGCTTCTGTGCAAACAGCAGCCACCCTAAAAGCAGACCTGTTTATATGAGCACACAAAGAATAAGCTTGTTAATTTTTTAGCTGTTTTGAGAACATTGAGCTGGTCTCTCTTGCCCGAAGTATCACATGTTGACACCTGATTTCTCCCCCCCCACCCTGTGTGAATACAGTGGTGCCCCGCAAGACGAATGCCTCGCAAGATGAAAAACCCGCTAGACGAAAGGGTTTTCCGTTTTCCGATGCGCTTCGCAATACGATTTTCCCTATGGGCTTGCTTCGCAAGACGGAAACGTCTTGCGAGTCTTGCGAATTTTTTCGCTCCCCCCCTTTTTCTAAGCCGCTAAGCCACTAATAGCCTTTTAGCCGCTAAGCCACTAAGCCTTTAATAGCCGCTAAGCCGCTAATAGCCTTTTAGCCGCTAAGCCGCTAAGCCTTTAATAGCCGCTAAGCCGCTAATAGCGCTAATCCGCTAATCCGCTAATAGGGTTGCTTCGCAAAACGAAAAAACCGCTAGACGAAGAGACTCGCGGAACGGATTATTTTCGTCTTGCGAGGCACCACTGTATCCCCCCTGGGGCTGGTGCAGAGGTGCAGGGAAAGAAATAGAGGAGGCTCAATTTTGGAAAGAGGATGGTGGGGCGTGGGAGGGGAGAGTCAAGAGTTTATACCTACAGTTCTTTGAACCTTGCTCTCTGGGAGTCTGTGGCATTGTTAATGCATTAGCTGCCTGCAGTAGCAGTTCTTTTTGCCCCCTCTTATACTCTGTTTGTTGCGGAATTGTAAACAAATAAAATATTACAAAGGCACCCTAAGGGTTCTGTGCTCTCGCTCACTCTCATCTAAACAAAACCCCATAAGCACTGCCCCCGGAATTTTCCACTGCTCAGAAGTAGGAAACATGTAACTACATTTTTTCCCTATAGGACTTTCATTAAGCTATGGAGGAGGGAGGACTTCACGGAATTGCTAGGCAGCCCAAGAGACATATTTAGGTTAATGCTAGCAAAGTGATTTCTAGTTGATGGTACAAAAGCAGTGCACCTAATGGAGAGTATTCACCATTAAAATTCATAGAGGAGAATTTTGTGGCGCAGGGAATAATTTTGAGTCTGCATGAAGCCAGTCTCATTCAGTAAGCCTCCCTAATATGTGTAGGTAGGAAAATTATATAGGTGCTCATTGTGTAGATTGGTTGATACTTTCAACTTCAGTACTTGCTATAGCACAAGAGGCTATTTTCTGCCACCCAGAAGATGGAGCAGACTTTTCCTGCATGACTGGAACTCGCAGGGAGACAGGTTTTGGCTAAATATCAAGAGAAGCAGCATGGGAGCAAGAGTGAATCAGCAGTGGAATGATTGCCTTGGGAAGAGGTACAGTAGGCTCTCTCAGAGATATTTTAGTAGAGACTGGAAGGGATGGTATAATTTCATCCCACATTGAGCAGCAGGTTAGATCAGGCGACGGACCATGTCTATGATTCTTGTGAGCTAGCTGATAAATCGCCAGTAAGGCAAATAAACCCTGAAACACTCTCCGTGAACACTACGCAGAATATCTGCCTTCATGGCTATTGCCAGCCATGTAAAAGCAGGGTCCCCTGGGGCTTATCGTCTGTGGCTCCCAGTGCTACATAAAAGAGATGTCAGCTCCAAGGAAGACTTAACATTGCTGCCAGGTGAGCAGCTCTTAAGTAACCTAAGCATTGGAATTCTGCTGCAAGCTATGAGTAGATTCAAGGTTGATTTTCCAGACTATTGGAGGTATAGCGTTTTGTGTGCTTGTGCATCCAACACAGCCACGTGGGTGAGGAAGTATAGTTCCCCTGAGCTTTTGAACCACTTATTTCATTTGCACTATAGCACCTTTTATTGCAATTCCAAAGGGAGGATCACATCCCACCAACTATCACATCCATCTTCTTTCCCTACTCTGGCTGCAGGACAGATTGAATAAAGGACACACTGTATTCAGGTTGTTTCCACACCAGGGGCCCTTAGTGCCCCTGAGGCATTGCTTTTCAACAACCACATGGAAGCAGAATTAACCTAGTGATTATACACAGCACTTTATACTGGACTATATTCTCCATGGGGACGTGGGTGGCGCTGTGGTGTAAACCACTGAGCCTTGGGCTTGCTGATCGGAAGGTTGGCGGTTCAAATCCCCGCAATGGGGCAAGCTCCTGTTGCTCGGTCCCTGCTCCTGCCAACCTAGCAGTTCAAAAGCACGTCAAGTGCAAGTAGATAAATAGGTACAGCTCTGGTGGGAAGGTAAACACGTTTCCGTGCGCTGCTCTGGTTTCACCAGAAGCAGTTTAGTCATGCTGGCCACATGACCTGGAAAAACTGTCTGCGCACAAACGTTGGCTCACTCGGCAGTAAAGCGAGATGAGTACCGCAACCCCAGAGTCGTTTGCGACTGGACTTAACTGTCAGGGGTCCTTTACCTTTTTTTTATATATTCTCCATGACAATCTCGGAATGCCCCATCCCATATGGGCAAGTTCTCCTTATGTATAGTCAGAAATAAGTTATGTTCAGCTACGCTCCCGCATCCTTTAATTAGTGGCTTCCCACTTTCTTTTGAATGGTTATGATAAAAGATTAATTGAGTAATTAAAGTTTCAGGAAGGGACCCGTTAAAGGGCAATGGCTGCAAATGAACAGGAAGCAACTAATTGGCCACTTTAAAATAAAGGGCTACCAAAATGAAGCTACTAATTAAAGGGGTAATAGCCTGAAAATCTTCTATAGCCCTTGACAAGTCTATACTCGATAAGGCTAGCACTGCAATTGTACTTTAAAAAGAAAAAAATGAGCCTGTTAAAAAGGCAGAAGGCTATCACAGAACACACTGGGATGCCAATTATCTGACAATGACACTATGTGGATTGTCCATACGAGCTAAGTGAACAGACATTATCCCTATTCCAGACTAAGTGGCTGATGTGAAAGAAAACCCCATTATCCCTGAATGTTCTGGGGTGAATCAGGGTTTCTCATCCACTACATTAAACTCTCTCCAATAAAACCTCTTCAGTTGGCCTGGTCCAAAAGAACATACCAATTGCCTTGGAAAATAATGAGCTGTTTCTCTGAGGATTTTACAGCTCGCTGCTCCCGCTAAGGGAAAATAGCTGCAAGGGACTAGGAGGAAACAATCCAAATTCAGCGCAGTCGGGTGGGCTCCCTACCTTCATGACGAAGAAGAGAAGAATGATGACAAACACACTGACTTTGGGATGGATCCAGACGGCAGATCTCCCCAGAATCTGGGGGTCCCCTGTATGCTTTACCCAGGTGAAGTTATCAAAGAGGCTGCTAATGGCTTCTCTGGGCATCAGCTGCAAGGAGAGACAAGGCAATGAGGGACTAGGCTTTCGCCACAAAGGGAACAATATTCTGTTTGGAAATGTGTGTATTAGGTGCTGAGAAACCGGGGTTGGGTGGGGGGGTGGAGACTCTTTGTGACAAGGTAAAACAAAATTCAGCAAGGACTGATATTTGTGATCTGCATAAGTTATACAAATTGAACAAATAGGCTTGCCTGGCCTTAGTTTGCTTCGTCTCGCATCTGAGGTTTCGTGAGAAATTGCCTGCACACTTTCAAGCACATCTTCGCAGCCATTAAGAGCTAGGAAAATACTGCATTGGCTCGTGAGTTTTTGTCTTTCCTAATGAAACCTGAGAGACTTGGGAAGCTGGGTTCTGTCGCCAGTGCCACTCTCCGCAGGTCTCTGTACTCCACTGAAATCATGGCATACACAAAGCCCTGCTTATATCTGGATGTGAACTGCAGAGGCTCTTTCTGCACTTTCAGAAACAATTCTATCTTTGACATCCTCCTGTTCAGTTTGTTCTTATAAATACCTCTTCATGCAGCCGAGAGGTTACAATTGTTCAGAAACCAAAAGGTTTGCAAGGAGGAAACCCAAGCTGTGTACACTCACTAATTCTGTGTCCACTGTGCCCCTACCAATGGTTTGGGAAGTGGTGTACACACAGCACACTTTGTGTATTACCTGTTGTTTCTTATGAAATACTGTACTTTGGTGACACTGCCCCCAAACCAGCTTCGAATTGACAAAAAGAATGACGTAGCTACGCTTTAAGCCAGCAACGTGTACACAGTCCCATATTTTGCAACATAATTGTGAGCAGATCATAGTTCACAGAACCACTAGAAACCTGTGGCTGTACCTAGCCCACTGTACAAAGATCCTGTCTGTTGCATGGCCCTGGCCGCTGCTGCTTTGTGGCCCTTGGGAGGCTGGCTTGTGAGGGCAATCTGGCCCTGAAGAAGATTTGCCTCTGGAGTAAAAGGAAGATGGAGGACCTTGTCTTTCCTATAAGGCAGGCATGTCCAAAGCCTGTTCCGGGGCCTAAACAATTGGCCCGCTGGTCGGTTTAATGCGGCCCCTGTGGCAGTTTATCTCCTGGGGTAAAATCCTAAAAAAAGCTCAACAACTTCAATCCTAAAAGAAGGTCAACAACAACTTTGGTCGGCCCTCACGCATGTTCACTTCATTAAATCTGGCCCTCTTTGAAAAAAGGTACAGCCACAGGTTTCTAGGTACATCCCACATGGACTTCTTTCCATGCACAAGATGCGTCAGCAAGGGCACATTTCACCCACAGCAAAGTGCTCTAGGGACTGTGCCAGTGGGAGGTGGGGGAGGGGGTGTGACTTGAGGGCCAGACATATAGGCCCTGAGGGCCACATTTGACACCCGGGCCTGAGGTTCCCTAACCTGTTTTAGTCAATGCAAGGTAGGAAGGGATTACTACTACTTTCCTTCTCAGCATGCACACAAAACAGAGAGGAATGGTGCTAGTTCACTCCCCAATGGAGTGACAGCACAATCAGTAGAGAAGTGTCCCCCCCCCCGCAGCTGATGGAAGCTACTGCTGTTGGAAAACGAGGCACAGACAAATTCTAGGTTGAGAAAACTGTACCCCTCATTCTGTGAAATAGGCTTTAGGCATTGATGGACCTATAGCAATATTCTCACCTCTCCGGCCATAAACTGCCCGAAGCCTGGGGGGAATGTCAAGGACGCTATCACAAAGGTTATAACCCCTGGATATATAAGGCGGCTAGAATAGAAAAGAAACAGAAGTTAAGGGCCAACATACATCAAACCCAGAAAAACCGCTGCAAAATCGAACCAGAGAGCAAATCTGCCCTCGCCTCTCCTAAGCCCAAACTACAATGGATCCAAACTACAAGAAAGAAGATTCCACCTGAACATTAGGAAGAACTTCCTGACAGTAAGAGCTGTTCGACAGTGGAATTTGCTGCCAAGGAGTGTGGTGGAGTCTCCTTCTTTGGAGGTCTTTAAGCTGAGGCTTGACAACCATATGTCAGGAGTGCTCTGATGGTGTATCCTGCTTGGCAGGGGGTTGGACTCGATGGCCCTTGTGGTCTATTCCAACTCTATGATTCTATGGTTCTAAGCCCAATGAACTCAGTCAGGGTCTCCAGCCTGACTTCAACAATATCTGCTTTCTGCCAAACAAGAAGGCATTGTGATATTTAAGTTGGCAGCCTCCCTTAAACTTATTCCAAAAGAAAAGCGACACACATGAAAAACTATTGTTTATTTCTACATTTAAGAGCGCTTCCTGAGCCATGTTTTGCCTGACCAATACAGTTTGCGTTAAAATGAAAATCCCGATCTTCCCTATAAAAAATCAATGCAGCACAGGGATCTTTTCAGATGCTGCTGCTGAACATTTACTTCGCAGCAGCTCCTACTGGCTGGGCTTTAGAGCAGGGTCATTGGTACAGAGGCTGGGTAGGTTCTGCTGCCATTATTCTTGAGCAAAGGAGGAGAATAACTCTATAAAAGCATACTCACTATTTGGTTAGGAATTGACTTAGAGCCGTATGTCGACGTACACACAAAACCACCTGCCGGTTGAAGTAAACAAAAAACGCTCCAAGGAACCCAGAGCAGATCCTACGGCAAAGGAATTTAAAAAAAAATAAAATAAATGTGGGCATTGCCAACTTTTGAAAATTGCCTGTGTATGGATTTACATAAGAAGAGCCCCATTGGATCATGTTCAGGGCCCATATGAACCTAGGACCCTCTTCCCCAAAGCCTAATTTTATTCTTTAAGCAAGGATAAGCATAAAAGTTTGGGATGCGGGTGGCGCTGTGGGTTAAACCACAGAGCCTAGGACTTGCCGATCAGAAGGTTGGCAGTTTGAATCCCTGCGACGGGGTGAGCTCCCGTTGCTCGGTCCCCGCTCCTGCCACCTAGCAGTTCGAAAGCAAGTCAAAGTGCAAGTAGATAAATAGGTACCACTCTGGTGGGAAGGTAAACGGCGTTTCTGTGCACTGCTCTGGTTCGCCAGAAGCGGCTTGGTCATGCTGGGCACATGACCTGGAAGCTGTATGCCAGCTCCCTCGGCCAATAAAGCGAGATGAGCGCCGCAACCCCAGAGTCGGACACAACTGGACCTAATGGTCAGGGGTCCCTTTACTTTTAGGCAGCTGTCAGGGACTGGGCAGAGGAGGAATGGTGGAGACCTCCTCCCCAGCCTGACTCTTCCAGAGAAGAGGAAGACAGTTCAGAATTACAACAGGGGTTTGAGGGAAGTCTCAGCTCAGCTGATGAGGGGGAAAGTTGGGAAATAATGGGAGAGGAGGAGGAGGAGGAGGAAGCACCAGGAGGGCGACCGCTGACAAACACAGTGTCTTTACAAAGCATTCCAGACCCTCCCCTCCCAGAACCTGGCAAGCCTTGAAAGTAGGAGAGCAAAGAGCTCAAAAGCAGAGGGCGCTTGTCAGCACCTGTAGGGATGATGCATGAGGTAGTGGGAAAGAAGGAAGGGGTGGAGATTCACTCGGGACAACGCCATTATCTAAGAGGCTGGGTTCCAAAGCCCCTCTCTGAATAAAAAGCAGATGGTAAGCAACTGTTCCTTGTCTTTGTACATTCCTGGGCTACCGGACGAGGGAGTTGCTTGCAGCTGCCTAACAGCAGCATACCCAGAAAATATATACAGCCATACCTCGGGCTAAATATGCTTCAGGTTGAGCGTTTTCAGGTTACGCTCCACAGCGACCCGGAAGTAACGGAACGGATTACTTCCGGGTTTTGTCGCTCGCGCATGCAGACGCTCAAAATGACATCAAAGAAGCAGTGAAACGCGACCTGCACATGCGCAGACGCATGTTACATTCTACTCAGGATACGAACGGGGCTCCAGAATGGATCCTGTTCACATCCAGAGGTACCAAACAAACAAACCCTAGAGCAGCCATTCTCAACCTGTGGGTCCCCTGATGTTGCTGAACTACAACTCCCATCACCCCTAGCTAGCAAGGCCAGAGCTCAGGGATGATGGGAGTGGTAGTCCGACAACACCTGGGGACCCACAGGTTGAGAATCGCTGCCCTAGAGCCTGGTCTGTGCAAATCCAGCAGAATGAGATGGGTCTTGTCCACTTCAAGCTTCGGCTGGTTAATACTACAGTGGTACCTCGGTTTATGAACTTAATCGGTTCCAGAAGTCCGTTCTTAAACAGAAACTGTTCTTAAACCAAGGTGCGCTTTCTCTAATGAGGCCTCCCGCCACCGGTGCCCTTCCACCGTTCAGATTCCGTTCTTAGACCGAGGTAAAGTTCTCAAACCGGGCACTACTTCTGGTTTTGTGGAGTTTGTAAACCGAATCGTTCGTAAACAGGACTGTTCTTAAACTGAGGTACCACTGTATTTTTAATGCTCCTCCATGTAAACACAAATCTCTCTCTCTCTCTCTCTCTCTCTCTCTCTCTCTCTCTCTCTCTCACATCAAAAAAATACCAAGCCTCATCAGTGAGCTCAGACTCACTTTGTGCACCCATAATTTTCTATTTGTAGTAAGGATTATAAAAATAAAATCAGGAGAGCTCTTAAAAAATGTGAACCACTACCTGCATTATTACAGGCCATTCTACCACCTCAGGATGCCACTACCTCATTCCCACCACCCACAGCCCTTGGGCAAGCCCTGTCATTTTGTCCATGGGGAAGATTGTAAGGGAGACAAATGAGGTTTGAAAGAGATACAAAAGGGGTAGATGGAGGGGAGAGGATTGTTTATTTCAGCTCAACAAGCATCTAACAACTGGTGAACTTGTTTTTAAATGTCTTTTTTTTATAAAAAAAGGCCCCTTTAGGTTAGGAAGTTCCTGGGCTGATTGAGGAGAAAATGAAACCCATTCTTTGCTGTGGAGGCCAGGAGCGAGCAGGATCCCAGAGTGCCTTTGAAAGTTGTGTGCAAGTGGGAATTTTGCCAGCTTTTCTCAACCCTTCACGACAGCAAGCCGCATCCGCAAAAAATGCCCGCCTAGGTGCCATTCAGGGGCGCTGCTCTTTTCCTTTGCATCTGGCCACCTTGCAGGAATAATTTCTCATGAGAAAAACACGACAAGGTTTCTATTCTGAACTGAGTCGTTCAATGGCTGCTGGAAAGCAATGCAGTGAGGTTTTTCCCCTTTTGCTGAATGCTGTTGTGTCTAACCCGGATCCTCCAGAGGACTCTAAGCAAGCAGTAGCTCTGCTTTATACAGAGAGTTTTCAATGAGGGGGGGACACTCGCTTTGCATCATTTTGCATCACAATTAGCCACGTCCCTTTGGGCTTACCCTATTACGGCAAAAGCTGGCAGCTCCTGCAGGTCAAAGGGGAAATCCATGCGGAAGTTGGTTCTGAAGAGTGCTGTGATGGTGACTGCGAAGCGAGGGTGAAACAGACAGGAGGAATTACGACCGTGGAAAAATAGAATGTGAGAGAATTTTAAATGTGTGCTACAGAAAGCAGGAGCCCCGGGGGTGGCGGAAAACCTAGAAAAATATGGGATATCAATGCGCAAGCACAAGGGAGCATCGCAGAAGCCTTCCTTTCAGCACTGCCACAGTTCTTAGCACCTCACTTGAAAAGACTTGGTAATGCGGGTGTTATTTTGATATGTTTTGGGATGGGCCTGGAATACTTCTAGCCTCAAGAGCACTTCATTAAGAAAAGGTTTTGTTGTTGCTGTCATCAGGAAGTGTTTCTGGCTCACAAGCAGCACCAAATGGTATGTAGTATTTTGATTTGGCATCCTTACACATTTTCCTCTTTCAGTTTAATAGAACAGGAAGAGGGAAGCAGCTGCCCTTTCAAAAATTCTTCATCCTGTTTGCTGTTGCTTTGGTATGAATTCCTGCATTGTACCAGAAAAGTCCAATACTGAACCCACTTGAAAATCCCCTCTTGAAAATAGCCTGCCATTTATATGGATATCAAAGGCAAGCAAACTAGTAGAAAAATCTCTGTGGCCTCCAAGAACACCACAGCACAGCAATGAGAAAATTGGAGGCAGGTTGAATAGGGCTGACATTGTTTAAACAGTAGGGACAGTGATGGTTTCATACCACTGTTCCTGTTTGTAATGTGAACCAATGTTCTAGCAGGTGCAGGTTTTGCAATTGTTTAGCAAGGCGGTCAAAGCAATCGGCTCCATATATGCATGAAACTATCCTGAGGATGAGGGACGCGGGGGGCACTGTGGGTTAAACCACAGAGTCTAGGGCTTGCCGATCAGAAGGTCGGCAGTTCGAATCCCCACGACGGGGTGAGCTCCCATTGCTCGGTCCCTGCTCCTGCCAACCTAGCAGTTCGAAAGCATACAGGCACAAGTAGATAAATAGATACCGCTCTGGCGGGAAGGTAAACAGCATTTCCGTGCACTGCTTTGGTTCGCCAGAAGCCGCTTAGTCATGCTGGCCACATGACCTGGAAGCTGTACGCCGGCTCTCTCGGCCAGTAAAGCGAGATGAGCGCCGCAACCCCAGAGTCAGTCATGACTGGACCCAATGGTCAGGGGTCCCTTTACCTTTATCCGGAGGATGATGTTTCTGACCAGGGGTGCCAACTTGAATAACATTTTGTTGTTTTTTTTTATAATAATTTTTATTACATTTTCCAGTTACACATACAACAGAAAGAAGAAAAAACACAGAAAAGAGAAAAGAAGAAAGAACAAAAAAAAAAACCCAACCTTTTCAACAACTTTTTTCAAATTTCTATCGGACTTCCCCACATCTCCCGCCCAATGCATTCTTAACAATAAAATTTATCAGCAAGTTGTACCCTTGTTTCATGTGTTTCTTTGTACTTTCAATTGCAATTTTAAGTTTAAATCCCTTATTCTCCATTTACTCTAAAAATATAGCATATTATTATTTTTGCACGTTTAAACTTTGGTTCTTTCATAAATATTATCCAATTTCTTATATAATCCACTCTCCTTGCTGGCGCTAACATTCCAAGTCATACGACATCTCAAAGTTCATATAACTTATAATACTTTTGCAAATAGTCCTTAAATTTTTTCCAGTCCTCTTCCATTGCTTCTTCTCCCAGATCTCGGATCCTGGCAGTCATCTCAGCTAGTTCCATGTAGTTCATCAGTTGCGTCTGCCAGTCCTCCAGTGTGGGCAAATCTTGAGTCTTCCAATGCTTGGCGATAAGAATCCTTGCTGCAGTAGTGGCATACATAAAAAAAGTTCTATCCTTCTTTAACACCTTCTGACCGACAATGCCCAGGAGGAATGCCTCCGGTTTCTTAGGGAAAGTGTATTTAAACACCTTTTTTAACTCATTATATATCATTTCCCAGAAGGCCTTCACTCTTGGGCAGGTCCACCAGAGGTGAAAGAATGTCCCTTCAGCCTCCTTACATTTCCAGCATTTATTATCGGACAAATGGTAAATCTTAGCAAGCTTGACTGGGGTCATGTACCACCTGTATACCATTTTCATAATGTTTTCTTTCAAGGCATTACATGCCGTAAACTTCATACCGGTGGTCCATAACCTTTCCCATTCCTCAAACATGATGTTATAACCAATGTCCTGAGCCCATTTTATCATGGCTGATTTAACTGTCTCATCCTGAGTGTTCCATTTAAGCAGCAAGTTGTACATTCTCGATAATAGCTTGGTCTTTGGTTCTAACAATTCTGTCTCAAGTTTCGATTTTTCCACCTGGAATCCTGTTTTTTTGTCTAGCTTAAAAACCTCATTAATTTGGGCATAGTGAAGCCAATCTTGCACTTTACCCTTTAACCTTTCAAAGCTCTGTAACCTCCAGTTGTCTCCAATTTTTCTATTATTTCCCAATATTTCGGCCAGCCGGCCTCCATATTGGGTTTTTTCCGAGCCTTGGCCTCTATTGGTGATACCCACCTCGGAGTTTTGCTTTCTAATAAGTCTTTGTATTTTTTCCAGACCATAAATATTGCTTTTCTGACAATATGGTTTTTAAACATTCCATGTGTTTTTACCTTGTCATACCACAGATACGCATGCCAACCTAGCGAGTTATTAAAGCCTTCCAGATCCAGGACATCAGTGTTTTCTAACAAAATCCAATCTTTCATCCAGCAGAAGGCTGCAGCTTCATAATATAACCTTAAGTCCGGCAGGGCAAACCCCCCTCTCTCCTTTGCATCAGTTAGTATTTTAAACTTTATTCGGGGCTTTTTGCCCTGCCAGACAAATTTAGAGATATCCTTCTGCCACTTTCCAAAACATTCCACTCTGTCCACAATCTGCAAGGCCTGAAACAAAAACAACATCTTTGGCAAAACGTTCATTTTTATAGCTGCAATTCGGCCTAACAAGGATAACTTCAGTCTTGACCAAATTTCTAAATCTTTTTTAACTTCTGACCAACATTTCTCATAATTATCTTTAAATAAATTCAAGTTCTTGGAAGAAAGATTGACCCCCAGATATTTTACTTTTTTAACAATATTTAGTTCTGTTTCCTTCTGAAACCCTTCTGTTTCAGTAGCTGTCAAATTTTTCCCTAGCACCTTAGTTTTTTGTTTGTTCAACTTGAAACCCGCCACCCGACCAAATTTCTGGATCAGTTCCAAAACTCTTTTTGTACTAGATTCTGGCTCCTGTAATGTTAAAACCAAGTCATCTGCAAATGCTTTCAGTTTATATTGTTTCACTCCGACCCGTACTCCTTGTACCTGCCGGTCCTTCCTTATCATGTTCAGCAAGACCTCCAGGACTGAGATAAACAATAAAGGGGACAGGGGGCACCCCTGACGTGTTCCTTTTTCAATCTGAAGTTCTTCTGTCACCACATTGTTCACTATCAACTTGGCTTTTTGTTCGGAATAGATTGCTTCTATTCCGTTCTCAAACCCCCTTCCCACTCCCATCCCTTCCAAATTTTTCTTCATAAATTTCCAAGAAATATTGTCGAAGGCCTTCTCCGCATCAATAAAAATTAACACTGCTTTAGTGTTAATATCTGTTTGTAAAAGTTCCAGAATATCGATAATATTCCTAGTGTTATCAAACAAATGTCTACCTGGGAGAAAGCCTGCTTGGTCCTTATGAATTACTTCATTTAAAACCTTTTTAAATCTATTTGCCAAAATGTCTGCAAATATTTTGTAATCCACATTTAGGAGTGAGATGGGACGGTAGTTCTTGAGTTGAGTCTTTTCAGTCTCCACTTTAGGTATCAGTGTGATGAATGCTTCTTTCCACGTTTCTGGTGCCCTCCCTCCCCCCATAATCTGGTTACAAACCTCCATTAATGGTTGTGTCAAGTAGTCCTTTAACATCCTGTAGTACTTGGAGGTAAGTCCATCAGGGCCTGGAGATTTGCCTAGCTGCATGTTCTGTATGGCAACCTCGATTTCCTGTTGTGTTATTTTACAATTCAAGATTGATCTCTTCTCTTGAGATAGTTCTGGTAGGCCATTATCTTTCAAGAACTGTTCTATCTCGGTCACTTCCTCAGGCCCTTGGGTGTACAGTTTTTTGAAATATTTCTGGAAACACTTTCTAATTTCTCCCGGTTTCTGGATGTTTTTTCCTTCAACTTCTAGATTGGTAACATAATTTAATTTTTGTCTCTTTTTCAACTGCCAAGCTAACAGCTTCCCACATTTATTCGCAGATTCAAAAGATCTTTGGTTCATTTGTTTGATTTTCCATTCCACTTCTTGGTTAATCAATTTCATATATTGTGACTGGTGAAATTTAATTTCTCTTAAAGTCTCTTTTGATTTTGGATTCAATCTTAATTTTTTCTCTCCATCTCTAATCTTCTCTAATATCTTATCCTTTTTCCCATTCCAAAGTTTTTTCTTGATCGTGTTTTGTTGTATCAGAAACCCTCTCATAACAGCTTTACTTGCGTCCCATATTATTCTTTTTTCCACCGAGGTGTTGAGGTTAATTTCAAAGTAGTCCTTTAAAGTTTTTTGGGCCTTCTTTACAATCTCTTGATCTCTTAGCAGGTTGTCATTCATTTTCCATCTGAAGGAGTCGGCAGTAGTAAATCTCATTTCCATTTTCAGAGCGTTGTGGTCGGAGCATGTCTTTGGGCAGATTTCTACTCTTGTGGTCTTAGGTGCCAGCCCTCTAGTTGTCCAAATTTGGTCGATTCTTGTCCAAGACAGGTGGGCCTCAGAAAAGAAAGTTCCTTCTTTACCTAGGGGGTTTCTCGTCCTCCATAGATCAATCAAGTCCATGTTGTCAGTTAGTTCGAAGAAAGTTTTTGGTAGTCTTCCATCTTTAGTCAAGTTCTGGTTCTGTGACTTATCCATATAGGTAGAGACCACCCCATTCATGTCTCCCATCATAATGATGTTAGAATAATCCAGATAGTCCAGTAATGTCTCGTGAAGCTTCTTGTAGAATTCTGATTTCCC